ATACAACCGAACGTGATCAACACATTAATTTTAGTTGCTATTAACATGACGTGCCTGTGCATGTAGTTGTTTGTGTGTATTATGTTTTATTTCAATGAATACAGCCAAAATGTCAACTGGATATTTTACCCTGTTATTTAGATGTAATGTTAAGATTTTAAAAGCATGAAATAATTTTCTGTTTATTACTTCTTAGTTCTTATCATATCAGTTATCAGCTGATTTATTCTTATCAGCCGTCGTTGTTATCAGAATCGTAAATCGTATTAACTAAATTCCTTATCAATAAATCATATCATATCAGTTATCAGCCGACCTCGCCATTTACATTTATCAGTTCAATTCATTTACAGATACTATTTAAACGCTGTTAAGTAAGTCAGGGATTTAGTAATTTGCCAAGTAAAATGCATTGACGTTAAAAGTTAAATTAATTTATAACTTTTTGCCAAACTAACATGTTATAAATATATATATATATACATGTTAACAGTGCAAATCAATTCGGTAACTAATATTGTCACTGGACATAATTGAGTCAATTGAAAATTCAACTCATAACGTAAGTTGTATTGACTGTGTTATTCAATTAGACTTGTCCGAGTCGAGTGTGTGCTTCATTTGAAAATTATTATAGTTGATCCGTTAAGGTGGTACGGCAAAAGGAAAATATGGAAGTTATGTCATTGCATATTGTTGTACTTACTAGTGGACATAATATTTCGGTTAAGTGATCTTGAATCTTGACTTTGGACGGGCCGACCAGTAAAAACAAAGCCGAGCACGAAGTCGGTATGAAAAAAAAAAAACAATATTACATTCAAGTGTACTATAACGAGACAAGACGTGTATTCAGCAGTGTGATAGCACGTGTACCAACTATACAGTGTTGCTTAATCGGTTGTAATGACACGGAAAGATGGACCGCTGGCGAATTATTAACGTTTTAAGAGCCGGACGGGTAAATAAACCGTACTTGGACGTTTGTTGTTTGGCGTTAAGTTGCCCAACAGAAGATCTGAAATCGTTTTACACGCTGTTTGTACGGACCAGCGGACCGTGAATACTCGCGCAATATCCCATCGGCTTCACTTGTGTTTCACACTGTTTTTTTTTTTTACTTCTACTCGGTTTAACTTCTTCATCATAACATAATTATACCCACCACTACCACCTACAGGTCCGCTTGCCCCTTTTGCGATCATGATACCTAAACAGCTCGTTTCGACAAATTCTCCTCCGAAGAACAATGCTTGCCATACACACACACAATACTAATACAATCATATTGTTTTTGTACAATGTGATCTCGATTTTTCACAATTTGTTTTGTTTGAATCCCCCTTCCAATTACAAACGTTGACTAGTCGATGACAAGTGTTGAACAACTATTCTTAAAGTTACAAGAGTTTAAAAGACAGGATAGCAGGGTAAGTGAAGTTTATAAGTTCGCGCGGATAAAATAACACTACACTCCACTTTTCCTTCGGTCCTAAATTTTAAACTCTTGTAATTTTGAAAATAGTTATCCAAAACTGACTATCGACCAGTCAACATTTTAGTTCCTACATTTTTTCTCAATTTAAAAAGATAATAAAATGTATGCGTTACAGTATAAATTTAAAAAGTTGCTATCGAAAAAACTAAGTCGGGGGAGAGGGGGTAAAAACAAAAAAAATTGTGAAAAATTGAAATCAATATAAAAAAACAAAAATTGTCCTTATAAACCCTATGAGATATTGAGTGGTTAACGATAAAATTATCACCCTTTGTTTGTTTGTTTGTGATTTTAACTTAAGTAACCTAATTTGTTGAAACGTACATAATTCAGATTTCACGGTACAATATAACATCGGATTTGTATTATTTTTATGTATACATTAAATATAAATACATGCATATAAATTACACATATTTATAAAAAATTGTCTAAGGTTTTTCTCTGTTGTCTGTAGAAACAGGAACTATTGTTTATTTCTGAACAGTTAATATCTAATTAAATATAACCAACACTCAACAGGAATTTGAAAAAAAAATATCCGCTGGAATTGGTAATTATTTTTTTTTTTTTGCAACTCTGTTACTGATGCCTTCGATCGAACACCAGGATGTTACACAAACATATTTTTTCTGGTTTGTGTTTTGCTTTACACGAATCATCCGCCTATGTATAACAATTGACCATTCCTCTTTGGACAAGAAAATATGCAATCGTAGTTCGAGAAATGTAGTCCAGGAGTCGTTTGGTAAAACCGTTTTTGCGCCACATCCGCCACAGTTAATTATTTACTGTTAGCATATTGTTATTATTATCCGACTCGTTAAAGCGATAAAAATCCGTGTATTTTACTTAGCTGATTGTATTCTAGGTATATTTTAACGGTAGACACAATAAAGTAAATTCACAACAAAAATTTAAAGCACATAACACGCCTTGATTTCTCGAAATAAACAACGTTTGAGACCAAGTCGAAGATTCCAATCTTATAAGAAAGAACAAAAAATATTCATTTTTGTATTTTCTCTTCACTATATACCTCTTGTTCGCTGGTATAATCTTATCAACTACAATTCTTATCACTTTTCAGCTGGCCTTTCCTTGTAAATGATCATTCGTACCACCTTTATATCTAATGTGAGCTGATTTACATTTATCAATCCCTATTATATCTCATAGGAGTCACCAACCTTATTACATCTCATGTCTATTTAGTTTGTTTATTCTTCTTTTGCACCTTCATCAGATCTTTATTGACCTGATGGTTCCTTATCAATCACTATCATATCTCATTTAAGTCACTAACCTTATCTCTATATCATCCCTGATTCCTTATCAATCACTATCATATCCCATTTAAGTCACTAACCTTGTCTTTATATCATCCCTGATTCCTTATCAATCACTATCACATCTCATTTAAGTCACTAAATTTGTCTTTATATCATCTCTGTTTAGCTTATTTCTCCTTTTTTTGCGCCGTCCAGGCTTTGTTGACCTGCTGATTCCTTATCAATCGCTACTCTTATAAGATATATATACATATACAATGTTTAAAACTATTGAATTTGATATCTTCTTAAGGAGGACTACGTGTAAGTTTCTGGCAGAAAGAAAATAAATCCATGTTGTTCTCTAGACACCACAAAGGTTGATAAGGTTCCTATTGCATCTGAGTCATCTAAATATGCAATGTTATTGCCGTCAGCTGATATTAGTTTTTAACTGTTGTCGAAGGTGTTTTCAACACACATTTTGTTGGCTATAGACTCGCACAACAGTAACACAAACAGCTGTCGATATTAATACACATAGCATTGTAACTGTAATTAATGTTACCGCGTTTAATTTTTTAAAAATTGCACATTAAAAAAATCTAGAGCTACCATTGTGTGAATTTTAGTGAAATATTTTGAAATAAAAATATATACTATTTTATTAAACTTCGCCATGTGAAACAATTAATTATCGGCGGTGGTATAGTTTCCACCTGTATTAGCCTATGCAAGGTCACTGATTTTCTCATTTATAAAAAAAACATATGAACGCACTAAATTACACACATTCTTCTCACAGATCGTCGTGAAATAGTTAACGTCATTTTATAATAATATGTGCGGTAATTCACACCCGACCACAATATTATGTGAGTGAATTAATGCTTGATGTATTTACACAAATACAAGGTAATTATATATAATTCAGTCTTAAACAAGTAACAAGATGTGTCAAAAGACCTTGGGGTTTTTTTTTTTGTAAAATATTCTTTCTGTATGCACAGTAATAATTATACTATACTGGGTATACGTTGTATATTATATACTTTATTATTGAGTAAAACAAAATGATATGACCCTTTATATCGAAGGTACAGTCGAACTGCACCACGTTACATCCAAAATCTTACTTGTTTACATTTATTGCAATAATTAATTTTGTAGTTACTCAAATAGAGTTGCGTTCACATTATCAGTGCATTATCATAATGTGGCAAATACATTCGACCAAAAAAAAAAAAAAATTAATCAGCAAACGAGATTTGATGAAACACGGTTTTCTTAGCTTACAACCAAAATGTCAAGGATTCATAACAAATGTTAAGCAATGTTAAGTTATCGGTTTAATGATATGTATCGGATTTAAATATAATATGTTAATCTGTTTAGCTATGGTATGAGAGTATTAAAAATATTGATCCCACGGTAAGAAGTGAACGCTTACTTTGCTTGGTTTACAGTAATAACTATATGCTGTAGAATTCTTAAGGTTTTGGGTTTTATGCTGAAACGGTTTACGTTGCACCGGTTTCGCACTATCTACAAATTTGCTTTACTTTGACGCGAAAAATGAAAAGTTCAAAGGAAGTGCGCTGTATTTTGCAGGAAGTGCGGAACCTTTCACTTATTAAATGTCTCAAATTTTACATAACAACAGCAGCATGTCCTGTGTGAATGGGATGTTAACCTATTCCCAAACAATGAATCGTAAAACCGTAGTACCATCGTTAATTTGGCCAAAGTAATAATAGTAATCATTTAATAATATGGACTCGAGCCGCTCGAGTATAAGTCAATTCAAAATTACAACCTATTTATGGCCTGTATTATACAAGTGCAAGCATGTTTATTTGTTGGCTAAAAACGATAACAGTTTCCGTTACCGGTGTTGGTGTTACCTAACTTCGAATAGCAATTAAATAATAATATGGTCGTCAGAAGATCAGACGGTCCTTGTTTTGTTTTATACATTAATTGAACAATGTACACAGGGAAGGAGGTATTAATATAGGTATTATAATGTTTTAATTTCAATTATGTTCAGTGCAGCAACAGTTGGCATATATTATGTAGTTTTGGTACTAACAAATACAATATATTATCTAAGCTAGAAGCTAGACAAAAAAATAGAAACCTAGTATAAACATTTAAAACATACCTAGGTTTTTTTATGCATAGAAAAATAATTTGTTTGTTATTAAATCAAGTGCATGCATTAATGGTATTATGTAAATAAAAATAGTTCTTTCCAAATTCTTTATTCTGACTTCATCTTTGTGTTGACCAGCATTGACAAAATGGAGTAGCACCTTTGTATTGTCTGTACAAAAAATAATTCTCGAGTTTAATTATGCCATACAATTATCACATAAGCAAGTACAAAATTTAAGAAACACAATTACCAATTCGTTGAAAAACAAAATGTATTTAGTAAGCTATAGTCATTATTGGTTATGCTCTAAAGTCAATAAATTTGAAAAATCCAATGTTTTGTCTTTAGACTCTACTGTTTTTATTTCATGCTTTTTTTTGATTTGCTATCTTATCACAATTGAAAAGTGTTTCAATGCTAAATGACTTAATAACAAATATCGTACCACTGCAAACAACTCCATGCAGATGAGCTTCGTGTATGTCATTTTCATATTGAACTGATTGGCATTATTCATTTTCATTGCTGACAGCACCAACTTCCTAGATTTCAAATTCATTTCCGTCCAATTGCTGCTGTAAATAGCGAAAATTATTGACGATTGCTGAAAAACGCACAAACAAAAACCACTATTATTCTCTTTGATTTTTCATTTTAATGTAAAAAATATATTATAATATTTAATACACATCGGTTACTTTTTCCGATAGGTTTCCAAATATGTAGCACGGCAAAAACAATTGAAATGAAAACGACGGTATAGTGAACAATACTTTCAACGACTGTATGGAATTTAGTTCACCGGATAAATAATTCTGGAATGCAATTATTACAAGCAATACACGGTATCATACACGGTTGTAGTATTTTTTTTTTTTAAGTATGAAAAAAAATAATACATTTTTACATTCATTATAAAAACTAGCAATATGTACGTTTATATTTTATTTCAAAAGCAACGTTTGAAAATTATAAATATTTATTAATCAAATCGTACCAATGCTAGGACGTACGATGCACAAATCAGAGACGTTGAGGAAGTAAATATTTGTACGATAGTCATCATTTCAAAGTATTTAAAGTAACTTTTTAATTTCCTAAAAATAAAAACATGACTTTGTTCACTTAGGAACAAAAAATAAGGACTATGAGCCCAATTTTCTTAAGCTATTTAGGTAAACTAGTAAAATTATTTATCCTTTTACTAGGCTAAGTTTTCTTGTGATAGTAAACATTTGTATTTTGGTTTCCATTTAACGTAGAAAATAATGTATACAATTATTTTTATAAATTTGATACTCACTCAATTATACTTTGATGATGTGAAATAATCATTTTCATTTCCTCAAAAGGCGTCGCTGTACTTGTGGGATTTGTTTCGTTCGGATAACCTAAATATCATCCAGTTGTTTAAGTAAACATTTAATCATGGTGAATATAAACATTAATTACTTATACAGTGTTTTTTTAAGGATTCCACTTAACAACATCAATTGGTCCGTTATCACACTAAATGATAATATGGCACATCATCTTCACAGATTATTTCCCTCAAATCCATTAATGGTAATATAACAAGCAGTAAATTTTGAATTTATATAAGAACTTCGAATGAATTCGAATGGTATGAGTTATATTGAATTAACATGTGTATGTTATTGGGCTGGATACAAGAAAATTCATGTAACCATTTTCACGTTACAATATTCAAATATATTTAAAAATATTAGGAGATTAGAGATAAGAAAAATCTGATAAGAGTTTTTTTTTTTTTTTAAAAACATTTACAATCTGTACACAAAATATTATACAATAAGCAAATATGTTAACAAAGTAAATATGTGACTTGGAGACTTTGGGTAGGGAACCTATCCAGTGATAGGACCCTATGACATGTTACGGCTAGAAATTAAACGGTAGCATTACAATTTAGGAGGTCTCGACACCAACGTCTTTTAAGACGACGAGGGGGGTTGTTCGGGATAGTAGCCGTGTGCTGGCTTGCTATTAAAGGATTCGAGTGGAGCAGTGATCTAGAGTGGAATTTTTTATAATGAGTCTTAACTAAATTTTCAACTGATTCGATGTGTAAGTCATTGTGAAGGATGAGGTTGGAAACATACCATGGAGCGGACGTAATTGTACGGAGGGAAATCGATTGGAAAGCTTCTATTCTTTTTGGTTGGGATGGTTTGGCACGACCCCATATTTGAGCTCCGTATGACCAAATTGGTCTTAACATTGACTTATAAATAAGAATTTTGTTATGAAGCGGGAGTTTGGATTTCAGTAACGGACGTAGTAAGTGCGAACGAGTATTTAGAGACTTCCTTTTTGATTTTAGGTGGGGGCCCCGGGTTAGTCTTTTATCTAAAATAATACCTAAATATTTAGTTATTTAATTTTTCTAAATGTATGGTAATTGGAATAATGTTAGGATGATGTATAAAAATATTTGAGAGGTGTTCCCCAAACAGATTGGCTTTATCGAGGGCGAGCGACCCGTCTAATTTTTGAATAGGACAGGAAAATTCTTTTAATTTGAGCAAGTTTTTTGTGGTTTTCCATAATGACCCATCCTGCGTGTTTAAAGATTTGAATTTTCTATCAAAAAGGTCGTTTTTGTATTTTTTAATTAAGTTTTTAATGGTGTTTGCCAGATTGTTGAAAGTAGTCTTGTCGGAAGGAAGTCTGGATCTTTGCCTGATAAGAGTAAGAGCGAAAAAATTGGAGATAAGATATAAGTGATAAGAAATAAGAGAAGAGATAAGTGAATATATATTAGATATAAGGACAGATATAAATATATATATAATAAACTAGATTGCTAACTGTACATGCCGCCAAAAGAGAAAATTGAGATTGCCACTTTTCGCCATCTTTGTAGGAATTAGGACCTTATCACATAACAATTATTAGCCGTCGATTTATATGTATATACTATATATCTGCGCCTATAGATAATATTATATAAATCCACTGTGGTTCGTGATAACACCACGGCAAAGATAACACATAATCCCACAAAAATGGCCGACTGTCGACTTTAATTCTTATTACTATCTGTGGATATAAGAGATAAGTGATAAGAGATAACATATCAATGGTTCAATGACCCCTAAATTTTAGAATTAAAAAAAAGATTTTCCCTTTTTTTTTTTTTTAATTTTAAAGGTGTAAAATATAAACCAGAACTCACATACGTCATGTACGGTGTATCCTACACGGTCCGCCTGGTAAGTATGAAGCACTGAAAGACTTACCCAGTGTCCGGTAGGAGTGAATTACGGTTTCTAAATGCTTGGAAATCGATAGACTCAGCGATATCACTATGGTTTCGAAAACGGCCAGACAGTAAACGTAGCACAGCAAGACAAACGACTCGACCGCGTGAAAAAGATAGAACCATTCGTTGTACGTTCGTTCTTCGATGGGATAGTGCAAATTGAAGATGCTCAGACGGTACGTGCTGAAGGTACGGTCGCGGTTCTGCAACCGTATGTGTCTGTTGATCGGATTGAACGGCACCATTATCCACACCGAAGTGGCGAAGAACAGAAAAGCAATATAAACGTTGGTCATTTTTACGAATTTTTTCTTCCAAGTCTTGAGAGCGCCGGAACCGCGTCGGTCGAGGGGCACGAAATCCGTGCGGGACACTCGGAAGCATTTGTAAATTTCCGACGAATCTCCCAGCATTGCCAACGCTTTGTAACTTGTCAGCCAGAAATTTATCACAACCGAAGATTGGATGACGACCAACGTTAAGTTGTTCGTCCAATAGTATATGCTCAACGAAATCATCAGCGTCGCCACGGTTTGTATCGCCACTAAAACATACACAACGACACTGACCACGTTGAAACCCAAAAGACGATTTTCGTAATCGGGATCCAAGAATTTGTGGATGCCCAAGGTCCTGGCAAGCTTCATGTTTATCATATAATTGTCTTCTTCGTTTTCGTCGAACATGTTCACGGCTCGTTCTACATACAAAAATAAAAAATAAAACCAACACTTTAAACTATATTGTACATTTTTATCCGTCCGAAGACTAGCAGAACCACGGATTGACACATCTTGAATTTAGTATACAATCTTATATTTGCGTCGGTTACTCACTTTTATAAAACGCAAAACGGCCTTTGGACATTGTTTAATCAAAGAGTGTTTCGTGACCGGCAATGATCCAATATGAAACGATCAAAACCAGTCGCAGTGTTGATCCGAAACAAAATGACTGCAGAATTGTTAAGTTCGTGGATTTATACCAGCATGTGCATGTTAATAATATATTCATTTATGTATAATGTTTACCAAACATATTATCCTTTGTAGGTATGCGTTTCTCAAACATTCGGTTTTGCTGTTACACGCGATGATATTGACACACACACACACAATAGCATGTATCCTTAAGCAAACAGGAAATTATATAGTTGTGATCAAGTGCCGAATTAAAATCAACTTGTATTTTCTTAGGACCGGACTAATCAAATAGACAATATCAATTTTGAACCACACGGGAAAAAGTAAAATAATAAAAAATAAGTTAGGGGAACCGGATAGTTCACAGAAGGAGTTAGAGGCAATCGTTCACCTGAGAAGGGGTGGACAAAAATGATAAATGATCATTTAGAATGTCCTGATAAACTTTATGAAGGTAATTTAAGAACTAGCTATAATTAACTGCTACCTAGTTAGTAAAGGTCATAGTCTTAGATGTACAATACACGTTTATAAGCATGCTATTTACTTATGTATGATGTTTACTAAGCATGGGTATCATTTGTGTGATGTGTGTTCATCGGACAAGACGGTTGTTTGTTACACGCGATCTTACATTATGTATACACCGAAAATCGCCAAAAACGAATTAATACTATATTTTTGAAGTATTCAAAAAAAAAAAATACCTAAGCTATTATTCAATATAATATATATATCATAAACAAAAAACATTAATATTTATATGGTCGCTAGTTGCAAATCTATAAATAGAAACCAAATTTGAAGGGAATTAAGTTTTATGGTTTTTCCTCGATTAAAAATAAATTACTGAAGACTGTTGAATTTATTTTGTAGGATCTAGGATAGGAATTAAAAAATCCATATTTACAATTGACGATAAATCCCACTATTAGCTTAGAAAAATACAAAAACTAATAAACTTGGTGTCTAAACATAAACGTTGTAGAAAAAAAATGTATTAAAAAATAATACTAAAAGAAAAATATGATAAAATTCGGATAATTAGTGGCGCCTATTCTGTTTAAGTACTAAGATTTTGAACTTTATATTAATTTCCATATACAGCTCTGACATTTTAACACATTTCGCAACAAATAATTTTTTTATTTAAACTCTTTCTCCAAATTGTAACTAAAATGTGTTTATAAATCTGGTAAAATAATTAATGTTTCTTTGTCAAAGTTGACGTTTTTCGGTGTTCTTTCTTTGTTAGTAGATAAATTATAAGTTCAATTTTCAAAACCCAGCCCTCAAATCTATAAACAATTTTTTTATTTTTGATGTTTTGGTGATTTTCCGAGTTTAAGAAGATAACAAACACATTTCATAATCATAAAACAACATACAAGCGCATCAGTTGAGTTGGTATTAGTTGACTTTTCCCGTTGAATTATTATTTGTGTGCTCCGGGTATAAAGTAATAATTATTATTATTATGTTTCATAACGTTTAAACATTTGTAGAGTTTAAAATAAATTATAATGGTGCTGTGTATTTTCGTGGTCAAAAGTCCTTGGAATTGTGTTGGTACGGTCGAAAAAGCTCTTTTCTGTTTAACGTTACCGTGCACCGACGTGGATAACAGTTATTAAACGTCCAACTGCGCTTTAGGTCATCTATTCCATTAATCAATGATGTTGGTATTATTTTTGAATAGTTTTTGATAATAATTACATTTTACAATTACCTACGACTTACCTAAAAAAAAAAAACCGTGTCGTTTCAACTGACCGCACAAAACAATTTAATCTCAGTGTGTTTTTTTATGCAACAACATCCAACGTCCGACATTGCTGAGAAATTATATTTATTTATGGCCTTATATTCTGACCATAGTCTTAAATTCATACAAGAACATTATATCAATTGAAATTTCCCAAAAGTAAAAAATACTGTTAACTTACATTCGAATTTTTAAATGCTCCAACTTTTCTTTTACAAAATTACATATTTTTATAAATACCCATTTAGCTCTTTTTTGTTTTTTTAATTACTAAACCTAAACTCTAAAAAGGTATTCAATGTTGTGTCTAATAATTTTTAAACCAACTTTTTATACTAATCATTTCTTGATTACACTTATACTCATCTACTTAAACTTCAAAACCCCTAAACAATTGACACCTAAACTTGCTTGTACTGTAAACTATTTACCTACTTAATTTGTTTTTGAAAACATATTTGTTTATGTTATTTTACAATGTTATAAAATTACTAAATATTTACTCGTTTCAGTATTTTTCAGAGATCTATCGACTTCTGCAAATTAAACGGAAATAGGTGAGTACCTATTTAATTACATTTTTAAGGGTTAAGAATAGTTTGCTGAACGTTTTGACTGGCCGATGAGCAAAATCTCAATATTGTTTTAAGAGAAAATTCGTGGCTTGTCCTAAATGTGAATCGCCATGTATATTTTTTTGGTCGGTGAAGTAATTTGTGTTGAATAATATATTTTTAAGTAGCCGATGCCTACACGTTATTAAACATATTTTACTGATGACGCCAATTGTAGATTCTGTCGAAGAAGCGCCCATTGTACTATTACAATAACATGACATTTATACCTATCGAATGAAAGTTGTCGAGCCGTAATAATAAATGTTATTTTCAAGTAATGGCGCTAAGCCTTTTTATTTATTGCATATTTTAGCAATACACGATTTAAGTTTACACGTGGCTGTATTATTTTGTTGATTTCCATGCAAGATTTTCCTTGTTATTAATTAATATACTGTAATTTGATTATGCTGTAATAATGCAACATAAAATGATCACCCTGTAGATTGTCTGTATCGACTGAAACCAATGCAAACCTAAAGTCATGCAGCTTTTAATACTATGTAGTTTACTCGATTGAATTCAACGTTATTTAGAATTTACCCGAAACGTATTAGACTACCTACCTGCGTCACCTGGGTAAATACCCAAATTGAATTCGCCTACGATTCAGTTGATGATATTTCTACTTTTGTGTTTTCTTACTAAAAAAAAAAAATAATAAATAACCTCTTGCAGCGCTAATATTATTCATGTCCAAAAAAAAAAAATGGTAATAAACATTGTAGGACTCCAATCCACGACAGAGCCCATTCGGATGTTGTTTTCAGCTAACGTTGTGAAACGTTTAAAGGAAGAAGAAGAAGAAGTTCCATTATATCTAAAAACACAATATTTTTTAATGACTTTTTATCGCATCCGACCGGTAGGCATATTCCATTTTCGGACTTGGCTTCGTCTATATTATAATTTATTCACAATGGACGTTTTTAATGTCGCCTATAACGTGAGGCTTGCATTAGGTGCACCTTCTACATTCCTAGTCGCAGATGATTGTTTACATATATATATATATTTTTTTTTTAAATCCCAGTCGAGAATCCCAATCATTTATTTTTAATTTTTGTAAATTATTATTATTTCAACAGAGTTAAAAATTTAAATCGGATGCAACGCATATATAAGTGAATAGTTTAGTAAGTGAGTTAAGTGAGTAGTTTTATATTTTAATACCAGCAAAGTGCATTGCGCCTTGATCGATGCGTTGGAGACGGAAACCGTATAATATGTAAATAAATGATTAAAAAAAAACTAGAAACGGTTGCATCATACTTATATTGTCCTACATATCTATAAAATGTAATAATAATTATAAATAACGTGCATAATAAGTATAATATATTATTTATAATATTTCAATGCTGAACGACACACTAATAGGTATTTGTTTTTTTTTTTATCCTAACATTTATTTTACATCGATTCCGTCCTACCTATTGTGTACCATGTGAATAATAAATCGTCCAATGATCTAGTGGGACTTAAGCTAACCTAAGAGTCACGATGTCCGGCAAAGATCTTTAATCTAAAACTAAATACTGTAAGACTTCTATCTAGCCGGGTGGAAAAAAAAATAATTGATCGATTTTCCTGATTTGATTGATTGGGCAGAGAAAATAATATGTAGGTAAACAAAGGCTACAGTATGCTTTACTAAAAAACAATACGATTCATGTTCAGAATAAGTATTATAGCTTACTATCTAAGTTACCGAGCAAAGACAATCCATTAAAAAAAATTAGGATTACAAAGCCCGGAAATGGTCCGGCATAGTAGATAAGAAATGACTATGCGCTTATAACAGCTAATCGTTGCTATTTAAGTTTCCTACTGTGTTTTGCCAGCATAACGTTATATTTAGATTGTGTGTTTAACATATTAGAAAAAAGCTGTGCGTTTCAATTTACATAATAATTTATCAATATTATCAATTCCGAGTCCATATATATACACATGTACACACAACGGCCTTATAATAATTATTGATTTTACTTTCTTAGGATGTCGTTGGCTTTTATTGATTTGCATAAGCCAATGATCGTCCGTTTGTGGTCAAAAACAGGAAAACCGGTTTGAAATGGACAAAAAAAAAACATAATAATATAGAAAAATTTCAGCTTCAGTTACATCTTCTTCGGTTTTTTTCGGGACGCAAAAGTTTATGTAATAAACACATAATAATATTATAATATACAAATGTTGCGCAAGATCGGCTCCCAATGTCTTGGGAGGAAGAAGAAGAAGAAGATCCACTTTTAGTCGAATATCCGGATGCTCTCTCCTGGCAACTCGGGTTTTAATTAGTAACACCGTGGGGACCGTTCACACCAACTAGGCAGGTAATTGGACTTATAATATCATATGACTAATGGTCTATTAGTCATATGATATTATATTAAATTTCATTTGCATAATATAATAATCGTCCATATATATTTACAATAATTTTGTAGTGTACCTACATGATACTCTTGGCTGTGTTTCGACAGGATAGCTTTATTGGAATAATATCTATATTTCTGTATTATGAACAGAGTTTAGACTTGATGTTGTATCAAATTGATACAACAAAAACACACTTCAGACACAATTGTAAAATAAATACCTTCTCAGTGTCGCATCGATGATAAATTCCCACTGTGAACTAAGAGTTACCTACAACTGAAAATGCGATGATAGTTTACAATAAGAAGACATGTATGGAACAAATATTTATTGCAAAAAAAAAAAATGCCCAAAAATTTTGGAAAATTTAAAGTGTAATTGAAAGATGTTACTCTTCAAGAAGGGCGGTGGTTAATTATTAAAATATTAACCGCTTTTGTAGGGATGACGGTTAAAGTATGTTAATGTATTATTATAAATAATATATTAGTAGTATAAATATATTATATTGTATATATATTTTTTTTGGCGTTGGTAAAAATTGATGAACACATGAAAAAGACAACAGCTAAACACAACATTAGAGCAGGTGGTTACTTATTATATACTTGTACAGTTGTGTCCTGTACATTTTTTATCCAATATTTTCACCGGTTTTATCATTTTGTAGCTTGCCACCTTAAAACGGTTTTTTATTGGTGATATTTCTTACCATCCGAAGAATTAATTTAGAAACCCAATATTCTAACAATGGCTCATTAGGTATTTTTAGAATGAAACAAATATTTGTGAATTTGTACACATAACTGTTTTACCTTTTCTTTTCAAACGATTTAATTTTTTTTTCTCTCCTCTAAGTCTTAAATCTCTAAATTTCAATGTTGATATTTTTTTCAAACTATTTGTTTAAGAAAAAAACGCTAGTCAGTTTAAAAAAACTATTAAGCTATTTCATTACATAGTAAATAAACACTTAAAATATAAGCTGTAGTGCATAATGATTGTGTATTATGTTATTTTACTAAAAGTAATAGCCAACAATAAATTTAATACCGACAAAGTATTATTAATTTTGTTTATTAAACAATTATATTGTTTTGTAACTTTTAGGCATATTTTTAAGACTGCTTAATATTGGAAAATTCACTTTTTATTATTAAATATATTTTAAACACAATAATTATATTTAAAAAAATCACATCCACCCAAACGACACGCTTTTACTTAAAATAAACAATCTGTAACAAGCCGAGGGTAAATTAAATTTCGTTCTACACTGAGTGATGATTAATTGATGTGATCCAGGGCTGTGAATAATACACTGTACAATATTATGAAGTATGCAAAAACAAGCACTAGTTTTGCGAAAAAGCGCTTAAAATTAAAAATCTTTATTTTATCGTAACAATATAAATTAACTATTATATTATCATATGTTTTATGAATCTTGGCGGTGTTCAACGCATGAAAAATACGAATACAATGATTTTCGATTAGGTGTATTTAAAACGCGTTCCATCGCTACGTTCACAAAATTAATAGGTATAATAGTTTTTTTACCTTTAAAGTAACCGTTATTGCATTTTAAAATCAACGATTTCTGGACATGTTTGTAGCACGGCAATCCGAGTTTAGTGTACCACATACAAGGTGTCATCACATAATATTTTTTGCTGTGTTCGGGTTGATTTTTTCATTGGTTTTTTCTCAATTCCATTCCAGTTCCCATACCCCGCCGCGACAATCGCCTTGACCCGGTTGCACACAGGCAGGCGCCGGCGGCAACGTCTTCGCGCGGTTGTTTTCTTCCCTACTAGAAGACTGCTAACAAGATCAAGACGTGTAATGGTGGGGCTGGGAGAAAGGAAGACGACACCCTCGGCCGGCAGCCGACCGGGACTCGGTTATCTCCACTTCAACGTGCCATTCACGTCTGTGAACGCGTGTCAGGAACACTGCAAGTACGCGCACGCCGGGCCTTAAGTCTCTCTCACTTAGACAATAATAACAATACCGTAATAACAACGCATTACCGTGGCCGCTTAATGAACCGAACATCCGTTTGTATAATACGTTAAAAATATTATCACCGACCAGCAACAAGCACCACACACACACACACACAAGAAACGGTCAGGTCTATCCCGGAAAAGCCGTTTGAAACCTAACCGGAGATCTTCAAAGGATACGACGATCAAACGGTGAGTCTTAAGCAAAAAAAAAAAAAGAACATTTTATGACTCTCCTTACGGTTATTAAGAGTTATGCCCGTGCGGTCTATGTTTGTTCAAGTTCTTTGGCAAATTTACCGTGTTATGCAAGAAGCAGAATAGTTTAGTTTGAAAATTTCCATTTCTTGTAATTCCAATTTTTTCACATAAAAAAAAATTAAAGTCTGTTTCTCACAAAATCTAGTAAAGTCGCCGAAAAACTTGAAACATAAAATTGAAACCGTACCGTGTTAAGTAGCCGAAATTTTGTTTTAAACAATGAATCTTTCCTTAAGTAGTTAAGGTCAGGGACAAGGCCTAAGTGCCGTTTTAATGAAATTGAGTTTACTGTGATATTCTTATGCTGACATCGTCTCCTCGAAGCTTCGGTGTGCACGTTAAAACGGACTCAGTCACGTTACTAGAAATTATAGTTTAATACACATACTTGTGGCATGTAAAAAACAAGAGTTTTTTCAAAATTTTAAAGCTATGAAAAACATTAAGTATATCAGGTTGAACGTAGATAAACCGTAAAAATCTATCGAATTTCTGTGACTTTCCACTTGGCCAGATGATTTCCCATCCTTTCAACAATTTGTCTGCCAATTTTTGTTTTGTTTTTTTTTTATTCAATACTCTTCGTGTGAATTGACTGTTGTCTTTAGGCGCCCAGATGCGATAAATTGTTCTGTTCAAACCGAATCAAATCGCGGTTTGGTTAACACCCGAATCCGTCTTCTGCGAATCATTCTGCGCATTTTACAATACCAATTAACGAAAAGAAATCAACGACAGCTACCTAAATTCTACCATTCCCCCCCACCCCCCCCCACCCCCTAATAAATTGCCGCTTTGAAAAAAAACCATCAGCTGTTGAATACGCAACGAGGATAATATATTGGACTGGGTACCGATTTTAATATTAGCCCAAAAGTCTGTTTCAAGTCAACGACTTGAGTTATAGAAAAAGTTTGAAATCTATTGTGAATTTCATAACTTGTCTTGTGCTCTTCTTGGCTACTACCTACTGTTTAATATTCAATGGGCGAACATACATTTTAATGATAATAATAATTATTATTATTGTTTCCAAACAGTCGGTAAAATATATTAAACAATTTTGTCCTAGATTATCGCGCATGGCGTTGCTTTTTTTTGTGTTATTATGATTTCGTTTTGAAACTCAATATTATTATTTGTGCACTGCGATGAACTAATTATTATCATCATATTGTATTTGGCCACGAACTCTTCGGAGGAGAATCGCGGCACGATTCGCCTGGGCACGGAATAAGGGCACCAGAAACCCGCGGTTAGGTTAGAGAAGCATCATGACTAAAAAATAAAAATAAAAAAAAACGTTTCACGATGAGCGTAGGCACTTTCAGTTTTTTTTTTCTTCCAATCTTCCTTCGACTTACAATATACTCACAAGACACACACACACACAGACCCTTTAAGTACAAAACAATAATATTGTATATATATATATATATATATGCCATTGGTCGTAATACACTCCTCGCGGGCTCGGAAATCTGTTTGTCGATTTGATTTGCTTTTACACACATGTTATTATAATAATATTGTATGTATAACATATTATTCGCTTTCCACTCGGGTTGTAATGTCTCTCCGTGTAACCCTTTGGGCGCTGTGCCCAAAATTAACACTACTTAGAATATATATATCATGGCCCCCGTTACAGTATATAACAGCTGCTATACCTATCGTGTTATAAACGATTGTTGATCCGACGAAGCGCAAGACCACACACAACGTCATCCTAAATCAATTTGTATCCATTGTCAGTGTCATTGAAAACGGAACGACCGCAGAAAGTGAACGGCCCACCACTTCAATAGCGTTCAGGATTATAGTGTAATATTATTATAGTCTGCCGGCTATCTGGATCTGTGTATTTAAATGGTTCGCAAGAAGAAAAAGAAGACGTTTAAATCGATTTGCTCAAAGGCGGTAAACAAAATTGTTAGGGCTCCAAATATAACATTACAGTCGACTGTGGCGTGTGACAGTACTTAGGCAACAGGTATATTAACAGCTATTATATAAACTTGAAAACACACGTTTAACTCACAGCGTGTATTCCTATTGAAATTGATCACAGCTCAGCAACAATGCGTACCTGTTATACTAAAATTTCAATCGTTCACAAGTCTGTCGATTAAGAATACTTCTAGTCATTAACATCTTCGCCGGTTATTTATTTTATCTTCCATCGAAACTGTCTGAAAAATATCCTATTCAGTTTTTTTGCTTTAAAATACATATGTTGTAAACATTAAGAGTTGTTTTTAGAACTAAAAGCTAGTCGGTATTAAATAACAGAGTCAGGTGGTGGAATTACATATAAACAAACAAGTCTCAATGTGTTTTAAAGCAGTTTTTTTTGTTGAAAAAAAAAACCAAAACAGATCTTGCGAGGCGATGAAATTTTATAAATAACAATTTTTTGATTTCATTGATTTGTTCATTTTCTATTGAGACACATGAACTTGAAGACACAGAACACATCAAATTGGACTGCATAACTGCAATAACTTGTGTTATACTTTGTAACGATTTCGCAAACGATCTGTCGTTTTTTTTTTGGACACACATATTGAACTATATATTATTCTAATAATAATAATACGCAACGGTTGTGTGCCGGTTACCCCAGTTGGACAGAGTTCAACAAGAATAATAATGTACATTCCATTGTGGTGCCCAAAAACAAGACAAAAAGGACGAACCGAATAATTTTCGGTGCTGGCAGCGGCGTCGGTTAGGTTAAAAAAAAAAAAAACACTTATTATGTGTACAATGAAAGGCTCGTTAAAAAACGAGATTATTTTCCACACTCACCCTAATGAAAAACACAATATTGTATCATGTAGTAGGTATTGGCCGCTCTATAATAGCGTGTACAGTAAGATGGTGCGCATAACATATAGTAATAATTTGTTTCATCTCCTGAGGCGTGTAACCGTCTGTAATAATCGCTTGTAAACGCGTTACATCATTTTGAATATTTATTTATTTATTTTTCCTCCTCGAGCACAGTATTATATTGTTGTATGGGATATTTTTTCTTTTTCTGAACAATGTCCGTTCATTATTGCCCGTAACTACATCCAGATGAGAAAAATCATCCCGTCATAGTGTTGTATTATCGTTATCGATTTTTCTCGACAATAGATAATAGATAATATTTCCACCGGCTAAACTGTTCGTCGCGTTTGACTTAATACTCAAGACGATTAACTTTTGGACTCCAGCACCAATCGGTCATCATCAACTTATGAACGGCTAACCGTCCCACACCGGTCTAAAACCAATAAAATACTTACTGGTTCCGGTTGTGTGTTCACATAACAACCGTCCACAACGACTGTGGCTGGAAATCTATTCGTAAACACAGCAATGCATTTTCATTAGCTTAGTATAGTAATAATTATAAACACCGTATGTAGATGTTAAAACAATAATAATATAATATTATACGAAAACTAGGTATTTTGCAACAACAAGTAGTACCTACCAGTCGTCGCAGTAATATTACACTGTAAGAAATTTATTGGAGCGTTAACACAATAGGTGTTATTCGCGTTGCATTCATGTATTATTATAAAATATGCATATTATTTAATAATCCGCGTTTTCTTCAATTACTATTTTGGAATATTCATTACACAAGCCCCCGTCGTTGCATTGTTAGCCGTTGGAATAATAATTAGAAAATATCCGACTTAGGCTAAAAATATATGCGGGTATTCCCTTCGGGTTTTTGTTTATTAAAATAATGCTAATGTTTGGGTTTTCCCACTACATGGGTTCAAAACTATAATTATTTTTTTTTTTTTAGTTACCCGTTCTTCGTACGACGTCAAACGCGTTTGTTTTTTTTTTCGAAATCCAATTAAGTGTGGTTTACAGGCAACGCACATTTTTGTTGCAGTTTACTTCAATTCGATAACCATAATTGTTATTATCTCATTGTACTTAAAATCAAATTTTACTCGAGAGGTGCGACACGGTAAAAAGAAATAATAAAGAAACAGCGGTTTTGGTAAAATTTACAAGAAAAAAAAAATCAATGGACGGTGGTGATGTCCACACACGTCGTACACTGCTGGTTGTGCTAAATGCTTATTGTGCAAATTGGCCTGTACGGATTGTATATTTTTCTAATAAAAAAGCAATTTCTTAAGTCCAAGAAAAAGTTGACCAATTTACATATTTTGGCGCTACTATAAGCGGTAATAGCGACTGGTCCATCGAGTTGAGTTGCCAAATCATCGAGGCATCATTCGCTGAATACTGGTATTCACCTGCGGCCCAGTATATGGCAACGCATTGGGATGCTGGCGAAGAAGAAGAAGAAACAAACAGATGCGAGAACTGACAGGAGTTTCGAGCACAAAGAGTCGAACGAACGTCCAAAGAAGCCGCGGATAGATGGAATATAGCAGGACTTGGAGAAATATTAGGGATACTGAATAGTACACAGCCGGGAAGAGTGGATGCAGAACAGGCACATGTTCAAGGGTCTGGATTCCGGTCGATTGGTTACAGGAACGTCGGACCACCGCTGGTAAAACGCCACAAGGAAGCACGTGAAACTAATAAGACCGCTGTAAGATTTACCATACGATTCGGTCGTGTCGACTGTGTGTGATTCAAGAACTTCTAAACGACCGCTATTGACTGTGCACACACAGTACACAAATAACGACTTGTCTTGGTCACGTCAGTGATATTATATAACCAATCACGACGGGTCGACTTCCACTCGGCTAGTGTTTTGGCGAAATGTGATCGTGTGTCAAACGATTTGGCTTGTGCACAATTGTGCCATTCGCATCATTCCAGTTCAGTGATCGTCGGACAGTATTGTATTGTCCAAGAAGATCTAGGAGAGACTTAAACGTGATTTCTCGGTTTCTTGCACGTGAATGTTTTTTTTTTTAAATGTATTAGTTTGT